CGCTGCTTACTGCGCAGTTAGCAGAGCGCGGGCGCGTGAGGGTGGATGCATGTAAGTGTATGTGTGCGTGCATAAAAGAAGTGCAGAATGATAATAATATCAGCTTGGAGGGTTCAGGGTATCTCCTAGTCGAGCAGTCTCGACTAGAGTCTTCTTACTTGTTTTATTTTACTGTGTTAAAGCTGGTAAGTTCGATGCCCACCCAGTTGAGGCCTATTGAATTTGTCATTTGAATAATGGGAGCCTGGAATCTCTGCTTTCAAAGTCAAAGCGGACGTTAATCTGTCAATGAGAGCCATCGGGGAGACCTTATCGAATTCGCCTTACATAATGCAGGCGTGCCCCGGCCGGCATGCTGGCCAAGCCAAAATTACGTCAGGCAACTAATTGCATGCCAATGCCACTTGACTTTAAACTAATGCTGGTAATTGCTGTCACGATGTCGTTGCTGATTATCTGAATGCCTAATGCCTGATTCGGCTCGTTAGCGTTGCATCCAATCGGGCGCTAAAAGGTAAATATCATTTGTCAATCAGCTCGGGCGGCTTGCGTAACACACTGGGAATATTGGATAATTTGCCAAAAGAGCATCAATAATGATATTGGGACGTGTGTGCGCAGAGCCTTGACGTTCGACTGTCCTGCGAGCCCCAATAAATGGTCCAAGGACCCAAGCGAATGCAAAATAAAAACGAATTGCGACGTCTTAAACGAAAGCTTCAAACTTTCGGATGGCCAATAGCACGACAACATATTTTCGTACTCTATAAATTATGCGCATAACCAAGAAGGAAGAGCCTGAAAAGTGAGACTGTTTCCTCCCTAAAACCAAGAGCAAAGGGCGGTTATATGTAAAGCAACTAAACATGGATACTCCTCAGACAAAGACACACACATACACACACACACACAGACGACGAGACATGCTTACGTGTGGTAAAAGAAGAAATCAACTAACCAAGCAGAACTATTACAATGGCAAAAGGTTTAACGAGTCATGTGAAAGTCTGTGGGGACCTCTGATAACCACCCCTGGCAAAAATCTGAGACAGGGCAGCAGCCAGCAGTCGTTGGGTGCGAAATTTACTTTTATTGCTCAGTGTCGTCTGTAGCTAGTGCGATGTACATATGTAATATACCTAGGCTTAACCACAGCATTTGATAAGGCAGCAGCAACACGACCGACCTGATCCTGCGCCTGCTCCTGCTGCTGCTGTATGCAAGGTAACCTCTGGGAGCTCTGCTTGGCTGCTTTGTTTGTTAGTTATGGGCCTTAAAACTTGTCACACTTGTCAAACAAACTTGCAAAATGTCTGCTCCTTTAGAGCGTCGCAAAAGACTGACAAAAGCAACCGCAAAAAAGCTCGAGCGAGCCGAAGCTGCTCCACTTGCAGATACCCGGTGCTCTCCAAATGGTAGATATCTCATAATATGTAATTGCTTTCATTATGGAATATCGATAATTATCGATAACTACATTAACATGGTAACGAGCAGTCTCACATAGATAGCCGCCAGGTGGCGTCTTTCCAGTTTTGGCAAAGTTTGCGCGTTGGAGTGCAGCCACAACGCCAACTTCTCTCGCAGGCATCTCGGCTTGAATTTAGCAGCCACTTTTTGTGCCTCTTGTGCGAACTTTCCCAGGATTAGTATGCGAATGTGTGAAGGAGTAAAAAAAATGGGGGATTCAAGCTCGGTTTTTGCTGCTGGCGCTCAGTCGTTCCAGCAAACATTTAGACTATAAAAAATTCGGCGAGGGCAAAAAATGCGAAATAAGAAAAACAACATTTTGTTAGTTGCATAAATTTGGCTACAGTTGTTAGCCATTTTGTTGTTGCTTTGTTGGAACCGCTTGTTTCGCAGTCCCTGATAACAGACGGCGTCTCCAAAGCGTCGTCGTGGGAGCAACTTGTGCGAAGCGGCGCCAGTTTAGATACAGCTGAAAGCTGCGGTTAGATAAATCTGCGGGAGGAGGAGAGAGGCTGCCAAGCCAATAACTGTTAGGGACCAGGGCATAACTAAAGTTTACTTGAAGTCTCGCTTAGTTCAATGGACTTCGCCGGCATGGATCACTCTTAGTCCCCACCTTGTGGCGGAGCACTCAAAACTTAATCGCAATCTTTGAAGCACATAACTTGAACACAGGCTCATAATGTGGTAAGGATACACGCACACATACACAGATAGACAGCTGTACAGAGAACCTCCTTGCATTGCACACCCCCATTTATATCTCTATTTACAATTTATGCGCCACGTGAAGGTAAATAAAGTTGCAACAAGCGGCGCTCACGCGACGACCGTAGGGTCTATCTGCCTCTGCTGCACTCGTTGGCTGGTGGGTTGGTTGGTTAGTTGGTTGGATGGTTGGATGGTTGGTGGCTTGGTTTGCCATACAAATCCCAAAACCATTTCACTAATTGAAATGAATTTTCATATACGACGACGAGAAAATGTCGAGAAGCGCAACGTTGACGTACTGAGCGTGCTGTACGTGTGATGTGGATGCGAATGTGAGTGTGAGCAAGAGTGCCAAGGTGGGTGTGTGTGATAGTGTGTGTGTGTGTGTATATGTGTGTATGTACGTGGGTGTTTGTTTACGAGACACTTTCGTGTCGCTGTACAAAATTGCAATGACCTAAGGCAACGGGAAAATCGTTGGGCTTCGCTGGGCAAATGAAAACGTTGCAGTTGAATGACTTTGCTCTTCAAATAACTCTTTAAGGAAATGACTCTTTAAAGAACGCAAAGCAATCAGCGAGCTGGCGAGCAAATACCGCAATATTTCCAATTATGGCTTTTGACTATCAGCATTTGGCTAAAGAGATTTGTGGGAGAAGTACACTTGAAAATTGTCTCCAGCCGGCAGGAAACTTTCTCGCAAAGAACAACAAAACAAATAA